CACGACGATCCGTGAACCGGTTCTTGAGTTATCCCCTTTTGAATATTTTCAAGAATTTATCCCTGCAGTTCCAGAGCAAGCCTCTAGGGGGCCTAAACTCATGCCACTTCTTTCCCAGCACAAGAGCTACCTACCATCTAAATTTCAATACCATAGCATGTCTAGATCATGAGATATCAAAACCGGAAGTTCAGCTGCAGTACCATAATAAGCCGCTAGGGGGTCCAAAATCTAATCATTTTGAGGTCTCATCAAGACCTACCCACCTACCAAGTATAAAGACAATCCATCAAGGCCTTCTCAAGTTATCGTGTTTACAGACAGACACACACACACACAAACACACACATACACGAACGCCCCTGAAAACATAACCTTCTTGGCGAAGGTAACAAAAAGACTTAAACTAGAACATACAGGTCTACATAAACTGACAGACAAATACTTGTGGTAGCAATCAGTTGATATTACGAAACATGGTATTAAGGTTCCCACTTTTTGTTATGCTTTCATGTACATACTTTGTTTATGTTTTTAAGTGTCGCAGTATTTTTCTCTACTCTACATACATACTTAAAGGCAATAAACTTATGGATTAGATGAATATATTATTATGAATATATATCTCCCGTTTCAGTTCAACTTGTGTCGTGAAGTGACGCACTACTGGATGACGTCGTGGCCGGTGTTCGGGGTCCCGCGCACGACGGCTCACATCCTCCACCTGCTGCAGGACGTGCGGCTCACCGTCAGGGCCAGGGAAGTCCTCCACTCTAAAGCCGGCCCAGTCGTCGTTCACTGCAGGTACTTCCGTTTGTCATATTTTTTTTATATTCCAATATGTAATCACAAGATGTGGTGACGGCACACTCAGTTTTTTTCAACTTATATTAATGCCGCCACCAACACAGTGGACAATACTATACTCATTTTCACCTGAGTAAAGTGAGGAAATTCGTGTTAAGTGCCTTTCCCAGGGGCAAAAGATAGGTGGCATGTGATGACTCGACCTCACATTGTCATGTTAGGTGTCATGTTTAAAGTTAAAACTTTGCTTCCAACACAAAGGTAGAATATGTTCTCACCTAGAGCTTTTGACCAGTCGCTCTGGTCTTCTTCAGTATAGACTGAGCCAGTGTGAATTGTCACATGGCTTGTTTGAAGTGTGACATCAACACTGGGTTAAAGGTATCTGGTAAATGATGTTGGCCCCCGTCGCAGTTTAGTAAATGGCCTCTTTCACCCTCTTTGCAACAGGGGCCAACATTGTTGCAAAGTAAGGATAAAGGATTAACCAACAGTGTGACAATTCTGATGGTATAAATGCTCAGTATAAGGCCAGGACACCACTTTTGGGCGCTGAATTATGTTCAGATTACTGGAACAGCATATCTTCATATCTCTTCCCCCAAAGATCATTAACTTACCCAAAAGGAGAAGCAGGAGTTTCAATGGCTGCTCCAGAACATTCTCTACGCCATCTACCCCATCTTGGAATGGTTTGTTTCACTCACAACCTCTGAAATTATGCAGAATGTGGGACTATACATTATCCACTGCCTTCAAAGAAGAAGTCGAACCCCATAATAGCTAGCGTAGCAGTAGAAGTAGAAGTTTTTTCCAGACAGTTGTTACCTGTCTCCTGTTACTGTATTGCAATATGTTTTATTCTTGATTGTAAAAGCAATTAGCCTTCGGGCATGATTGAATAAAGTTTCACAACAGGAAGGACCCCCTTCTTTTTGATAAGTGATTGCGTGGTGTGTTCTTTAACGTGGTGTTGTTTTTGTAGTCCCGGCACAGGTCGGACAGGTGTGGTGATGGCGATTGATATCGGGATGAGGTGGATGGACGACACCGGAGCAGCAGACGTGCTGAACACGGTACACAACATGAGGCACGAGAGGGCGGGGGCCATCATGACCAAACAGCAGTATGCCTTCACGTACAAGGTAGGCAGTGGGAGGCCATTCAGGGCTCAAAATACATTTTTCTGCATACCTAGCACTGGTGAAGGTTTGAAAATTACCAGCACCAGGCAAGTTTTACCTGCACCACTCATAATTTCAGAAGTATGGTGCATACTAAAAACTGTTCAGAAACTATTGCCACCATCTCTTGCATACTTCATAGGTGTTAACAGTCAATGAAGAAAATGAAAATCCACATACGCCTCGTGCAATTTCAGAACGGCAAAACCGAAAATATTTTGGATGAGAAAATCTGTGTGATTTTGTTATTTACTGCCATTTTTTAGCACATTTTTATCAGTTCATTCTTGAAGAATTTGAATTAGCCCAAGAACAAGCTAGGAAAGGCATCTCTTTAATTTTTTTAATAGCTTGAACCAGCCTATGATACAAAACAAGCAGCCATTTTCCGTCAGTGAAATTATATTTAATTTATACAAATGTATGTACTGTTTATTGAATACTATTGTACTTATGCGCTTATGCAACCCCTGACCTTCCCCTTAAACACTTGAAACGCGGCCCCGGCCGATAGTGAAACATCAAGGTTAAATGGAGGTAAAAAAAAATTGCCACACAGATATTAGCATGCTATAGGATAGGTTTGATTCAATTAATTACATCAAAAAGAATGACCAGGAAATAGACTTAGAAAATCCAGTTTTGCTGCCCTGAAATTCCATCAGTTGCCTTTAAAATAAGGCATTTAGAGAGAAGGTGAAGTCTTGATTGTTTTCTCTGTGAAGAAAATCTCACCTCACACGATCCCCTCCTTGCAGGCGCTGAGCCGTTATGCTAAGAAGCTGATGAAGTTGGAGCAGGGTTGCGAGTCCTCCGAGTCCGAGTCAGACGAAGAACTGGACTGGGTGGAGGGGACTGCCTGAGGAAACAAAATGTCCACCCAAATAAAGAGTCACAGTAAAACTTAGGGTTCTTTCTCCACAAATTTGAAGCAGGTGGAAACTCTCCATGAATAGTTTCATCAGGTTGATACATGTATACAGAAGAAAGAGACTACTTTATACACAACCAAGAGGTTAATTCAGGCGACATTTTGGTGACCGTCTGAAAACTTCCTCAGGGCAAATCTGACAGGTTCACATTGCACAGCAGCACAGGTGTCGCTGCAATAGATGCATTCCCAACCGCGAAGTAGTTACATATTACACGGTTGCCCTGAGGAAGGTGACAGACGGTCCCTGAAATGTCGGCTGAATAAATCTCTTGGTTGTGTAAAAGGAGACTTTACTCAGCGACTTATAAAACTACCAGTATTCACGGAAAGCTTCCACCTGCTCCAAATTTGTAGAGAAAGAACCTTTATATACCGTGAAAGGAAATGCAATAAATATTATGTTGTTAGATTTCAACATAAGTTAGAATGTTAAGTTACAACATAGGGTAGATTGTTGTGCAGGTCAGTCAGTGCCTCAAAAGTGCACATCACCAAAAAGCAGTTTTGCATTGGATTTGGACACTTTTTTTCAGTTATTTCAATCTTGCCATGACAGGTATTGAAAGTCGTGTGGGCCGGCTCATGTAAAGTTTTAACCAGAAATGTTGCTTCTGTGATGTGTAGAAAGACTGAATTTCAACTAAGAGCCGTGAGCTGATTATAGAATGATAACTGGGTCGTTGACATTGATCATGACCTTGTGTGCAATGCCCATAAGTGTCCCTTGCCATTATTCTGGGTTATTGGAACTTGTTATGCAGTTTCCTTGTCAGATAAAGAAAGCAAAGTAAATGTTTGACTGTATTTGACTTCCAAAAATTTCCTATTGAAATTTAGAAGTTCAGAGAGGTGTTTATATAAGAATTATCCAAATTATGATCTCATTTGCATGAATTCTATCATTCCTTTAGTGTCAAATGAAATGATAAAATTTTGTCATTGCCTTAAAGCAAAATGACAGGCCATCTCAAGTGCCTTTTGTTCTAAAGACTGGCACATGTACAGCTATTCTGTGTGACAGCAATGTATGTATGTATGAATGTGTTCTGTTGGTGTTTTTCTTGGTCCCATATGATGGGATGCTGTTCAATGGTGCCCTCCCAAAGCACTACCTTCTTTTTCTGCATTCAAATTTTGCAGTATGAAAAAAAAATCGATGGATTAATTGAATTGTATAAAACCATATGGATGTTTTGGCATGTTTAAATGAAATTGGGATACCTTAAAGTTTGTATTCTATGTCATGATGTGGTGCCATTTTTTGCTAGTCAATAATGCCAAGATGGAATCTCTCTGATATGACATGAGCAATGAAATTCAAATGTCTGGTATGTAAGGTTAGTTGCTTTTAGTACAGATACATCAATCCATAGATTCCATACAATAGTAGATATTATAAAGTAGAAGAACAGAAAAAGTTTTGTGCTAAATGACAGCATGAATGTAGGTATTTGGCAAACACATGAACAGTTCTTGCAACTGTCAGAAATTAAGACATTGCTGTACTGCGTAGTTGATAAAGATATATGTGGAAGGATTCCAGTAAGACACATAGGGTACAAGCCATTGTGTGATAGACATTTTCATACTTGTATTACCTTTATTATACTTAACTGTATATGCTTCATATGATTGATCACTTTCAAAAGTAAGCAATGTTGATAACATAAATATGGAATCCTACGTATAGCTACACATAATTTGTTCATAAGTTTTTTATCAATGGATTTATGTTCTGTTACATAAATTCTCATGTGTATATGATAAAAAGTCACAGACAAAAAAGTGGTACATGCATTTGGAAAAATTATTGATGTCATTTTCATCAATATAACCAAAAGCAACCCAAAAGTTCCCAAAGATGTCTTATATTGAAAGCAACGGTATGTGGAAATTCACTGCCAAAATTGGCTGATATTGTACATAATTATTCTGATGATACCTTGGTTATTGCTTGACAATGATTTTATTTTCCCAGCAGCCTGTATAGTATTTTATTCTGTGCTTATGAATACTGCTGATTGTATCGCCTACCCTACAATGAAAAAGAAGGCAAAGCATAGCAGACATGTTCATGTTACCTATACATGTACTAGCCTTTTTATCCTCAAGTCTTTACTTTACACCTCCAAATAGCAACTAGTTCACAGGTAACTCCATGTAAAGTAACAAGTATCATAAACATGAATGGTCAGTCAGTGCTGCAATTTGCATGTCGTCCAATCATAAAGCTATCAATACTGTCTACATTATACATGTACTAGTATATGGCATATTCCAATTTTTTTATGAGAAAGCACTTGCGTGCAATGTATGCCAAAGAATTATTATTCCAATGTGTCTTTGCTGTACAATCAAAATGTATTATTGTGTATAATCTATTTTTGTATTGAATCACAGTACAGAAGGTTGGGTTGTTTCAATGCAAATTGAATTCTATTGTGCCAAAGAAGTTGGAATCGACTAACATTGTAAATAGTACTGCAAATACATGTATAACGTTATTTTATTAAAATTGTAATTAATCCACACTTTTCTGGTGCAGTTGATTAATTGCGTTTATGCTTCACTCTTAATCACTTTATGTCTGAGAAAAAAGTATATGTCTGCAAAACTATATGTTTGTGGTGGTGGCAGCGCAGGTGCAGCAAAAAGAAAGTCGTTGAATGATAAGTCCACGAAAAACCACGAATATAAAAGTACCGGAAAAATATCCTGATTTACAGTATCTGGTTGTTTATCAAAATGGCTATGCAGACAGCCTCCTGTGTTGTTGGAATTTCCATTTCAAACGCAGCAATTCTGCCCCAGAGATTGCTAAAATGTTTTATTGGCACAAACAACACCATATACATGAATATTCATATTTTCTGCAATAGCCCAGTCTAGCTGCTTTGCCCTTATCACAACACAACAGGTGGTATTAAAGAGGTAAACTGCCTCCAGTCAGGAGTTCTATCTTGTTTCTCCAACCAAAATCTACAACAGATGTGAAGGAGCATTTCCTTCTGTGTTTTTCATCAGGTTACTGCGACATAATTTTGCATGAGGTGTTCCAAACAGTTGCATGGTATCCTTTGATCTCAAATTCACAACATGCCTGATGAGGCTGTTTTTTTTTTTGCCCCTGCATATTTAGAGAGTGCGAGACTATGAGAAATTCCTGTCTCAGAATCATTTTTATACGTACGCACGTTCCAAATGAATACCCTGGTGGAACGATCCACCACCGGCATGGAGGTGGCAGTACTTTTTGTAATATAACATTAAAAGTTCTAATGTCAAAGCGATGATATGCAAGATTTTCACTATTTTAAATATTGTTGTTTTACACATTTTCTTGCACTCTGTTATGTAAAGCCTACCAGGGTTCATAATGACAGTTGGGGAGTAAAAGATCAACATCGTTGCCCCGCAAAAAAACGTGTTAGAAAACTGCCAACTCCTCGGTTTGTTTACCACTGTTTGTTTACATTCTTTTAGGAGTTTTCTAAAAATACAGCGGGCTTGGTGCAACTTGTTCTCGTCGGAAAAGCGAAATGGCGATGCTAATATGTTGAAAGTTATTGAAAATGAGAAAATGTTCAATTATTTATATTCACAGTTTTGGGGGAAAAAATCTTACATAATATTCTTACATATTATTACGTTAACATGTTAACGTTAATCATTAATGTGATATTCAACGTTTAGATAATACTGTAAGTGCAACGACAACAGAACTTAATACTATTTTTTTTCTCAGTTTGCAGGAAAATGAGAGGTCAATCATTGGTACGCCCGCTAGGAGCGCAATTTATTCAGGCTAGGCTACCCATCGCCAACCCCCTTTCCCCTTCCCCCCTTACCATGTTTCCTAATATACGACACTGTTGCATGCTGGGTGACAAACTCTGCGGGACGGGGTAGGCAGAAGCATCAAAATGGCGGCGCTGGAGGAGGGAGGAAAGTACGGACTCTCCTGTTCCAGACCCACGGAAACTCCAAAATCAGCCGTCCTCGTCAGATTAACCGACTCAGCGCTTAGAGCACTAGAAGAGTACCAAACCCTAAAGGTAAGGCGGCGATACGCTGTTTTAGGAGGGCGTCAGAGACAGGCCTAGCCAGTCCGCGCATGGTACCATATGTACAGACCTCTCTCGCGTCGCTCCGACGTTTTCTATATCCCAGACCTCACACACACATAGCTTCTGTTTACCTTACCAAGCGAACTGTAACTTTGATGAAATACTAGGAGGGAAGCAGGCCTTTCACGCTCAAGATCAAGCAGCCTTGCCACAGTCATCTGGGACAGACGGAAATTCCAGCGCAGATGCCCGTCTGTGCCTGCTGACACAGTATTCTAGCTATCTGTAAAAACGACAAGACCGACTAAAATATCTTTGTCTAGGCCAGGCGTCAAAATGTTGCTATCTTTAAAACGAATTCCTATAATCTCTAGGCATCCTGTCATTGTTAGAAAAATATGCCACATCGCCATATTATATCCTCCATAGACAAGTATGCAAGATCCAGGTTTCCATCTTGGCTATAGAGTCAAAGGATAATAAAAATGTTTGAATTATTAACTTGATAAGATAGCCCCAACTTAACCACAAAATGTAATAACTTCTCAACAGGTATAAAGGGTATTTTTATGACCGGGGAACGGAATCGTAAAGCCGATAACAGTCGCCATAGGCAAGGCAGTGGCGGAATATTGCGTACATTTGTTTCTGTGCTGGCAATTGGATCCCCCTCCTTTTATGGCTTGGTGTGTAAGAGGATCCCCTAAAAGCCTTTCAGCCACTGCGCAATTCCTAGAAACCAGTTCTATTCTAGCTGCTGCCAGTACGGATACTACCAGCCGTCAGAACTGCCTGGCAGACGAGAGCCTACGTCAAATGCTTTCCTGACGTCAACTCAGAAATGGACACGTTTGGGATTTTTTTACCACGAATTTCTTCAGGGACCTAGGGTTAGTTCTGGGAAAATATAGCATGTATATAAAGGTCCCAAGGGACGGGGGTTCCCCTTGGTATTAGGGAGGGAAAACAATGTACTGTTGCACCAAATAGAACACACGTCTTCTACGTAGAAACTGTTGAATCGTGATCTTTGTTTATACAGTCATTAACATACATTTTCAGAGACTACAGTGTTTAGGTTTTAGTAGAGTGATTGAACAATGGTGTATTCAATACAGTATAAAAGCATGAATATAAGAATTTTCTATTCATAAATCCAAACATCAAACCAAATAGTGAGTGAATGGGTAAAACTAATTTGCCAAAAACAGTTTCCGAAATTACCATAACTATGAGTCAGTCAGAGTACAGTATATTGCATTATTTATTGTAGACAACCATGCTTCAGTGTTCAAAGCAAGAAAGACATTAGTCCTGTCAGTGTTGGTTTCGGTCACTCCTATTCCTAACCCCAAAAGAAGAGACAAATGCAAAACTCTGCTGGTCCATACTGATACAAATAACCTTACTACCCTCCCTCCTGTTCATTTAGAATTAACAAGTCCCTACTAAGTTGTTAATTTATTCGATGTTGGTGTAATTATTCCACTAGGAACAGATTATGAATGATCAGGGCAGATAAGTGAGGCAACGACCCAGCACCCAGCTGTTAGTTGTCCCAATTATAGAAACGGCTGCTTGTCTGTTCCTAACCTCCATTCTCACCTGTTGCAACAGTGACTGTAGGCACAGTGTATTATAAACATGTCCCGATCTCAAGAAATCCTCCCATGCAGACATTACAGAGTTGGTAAAACTTTGTATAGTCTACATGTGAGGCCTAGGGGAAAAGTGTTGTGTTTCCTGTTTCAGTCCTGAAAAAATTAGGGTCGGTCGGTAGGTAGGGATTATCTTTTTCTTTCTTATAATCGAACTTATTAAATACAGTTAAACAAAGTAAAACTTGCATATTTTCAACGTCAATGTTGGAAAGCCGATTGTACAATGTTTCATCACTCAGGTGTCAGATCATGGAGCTAGAAAAGGTCGATCAGCTTGAAAAATTATGTTCCTTGCAGGGGTCCACACACATGCTCGGGTCAGCAGTTTTTTCTAGGGTTGGTTGGAAAATGGGAAACAACATTTTTAAAGTTAGATCTGTATGCAGTGGCAACTTGCCCTTCTTGACTGTGCCTAGAAGGCAAGAGTAGCTGGTCTGTAGAGATAGTATGACACCTAGCCGTGTTAGACTGTTTCTATTATCACTCCCTATCCTAGCAGCACTTGGAGCAGACTAAAGCTAAACAAAGCAGGATCTAAGATTATGTTACTGATAGCTTGTAATTACAGCAGACAAAGGATTTTTTTGTTCCGTGCCACCTAGCCCTGTAGGCATTTGGACAAATGATCAGACAAGACTACAATTCTTGATTCTTTGATAATGCGCATTGCAGTATTCTTCAATCAGCTAACATGTTACAGTCCCAACAAAGTACTCTCCAAGCAGAGGTTGGTGGGGAAGATTGTGACCTTTTTAATATGCCCTGTTTTTTTCTGTTTCTACCACACCACAGAAAAACATGGGACATATCCAAGTCCAACCTCTGCTTGGAGAGTACCATTTGTGTGATGTGATGAATACATGTATTACACATGGTTTCTGAGTGTATTGTTTCTTTTAGTAGTTCTCTGACGTTATTACAAAACATGGCCCTGATTACATATGGGTCATAAGATAAAGTACATGTACATTGATAAAAGACACATACCTACAACTTATAATTAATAACACACGATTCTGTTGCTTCCAAGATACCATGAAACTGATTTCTATGGCATTGCATCTCAGTTTTAGAAATATCACTTGAAGCTTTTACTAATTCATATGTTTAGTTGTACTTGTTAGTAAGTACAAATGTATTCACTTGCTCTTATTTTTGAGACCAAAGTCCTCCAATTTTTCCAGTAGTCAGCTTCTTCGGAAGTTGATTTGGTCGATTTTAATTGTTGCACTTATCGGGTAAGACTTTGACCGGGAGTAGAGGTTGTTGGTGTTGTATTGTAGGTCAAACCTGAGTAGTACAGTCAAACCTGTACTAGCGGTCACCTTGGCATTGCGGTCACCCGGCCATAGCGGTCGGTTTTTGCTGGTCCCTTGAATTTTTCCCATTGACGTAAGCATTAAGAATCGCGTATATAGCGGTCACTGTTCAACGCGGTCAGCGGTCACCCCATTCCGGTCCCGCCGGCTGTCAACACCGCCGATAGCGGTCACGGCTGGCCGGTCGTTACCCGCTAAGCACCACGTACGTAACACCACCCGACCTCGGGCTACGGCCGTTAGGACGTTCAATCAAGTCTTGTGATAATTTTGTTGCCGCTACATTATTAAAATGTGAACTAAAATTAGACTCCAGATGTGTATGAAATAAAGGAAAACTTGATTTTGACACGAAATTTTTGCGGTCGCTCGTGTTGACGTCTTTGATATCTGAAACACCATGTCGTGCGTGCCGCAGTGCTTTCAGTGGACTCGGCGAAGATTGCGGCAATCATCCTTACAAAAAACTTACGAATATCCATATTTGATTTTTCGATTCCTTGAAAAGCATAAATATGTGGCCAACTTCCCTTTTTCACGGGCATAATTCAAGAAATTTGGGCTGAGAAAATGCGTTTCATGATTTTTCAAAATGGCGCAGGCTGCGGCAAACAATCAGGTCAATTGGGGTCATCGGAAGACTCCATTTGTTTGGAGGTAGATGTACCGACTTTTATTTAATTTTATAGCATCAAATGGCGTGATTACATTACAAAAATATTTGGAATACATTATTAAAACTAATTTCCATCGTAAAATTAAGTCTGTAGTGAATATTCTACAAAATATGTAAGCCTGAAAGGAGCACTATTTTTGTTGACCACCACATTGGCATAATGGCAGGGGCAGACAACCCATGCCGGAAGAAACCCAAGCCGTAAACAAAGGAAAGTTTTCGCTACGTTTTCATGTTCAAAAATGACCAAAAAAGGAAAATAAACGGCAACAGATGAACAATTATTTTGCTGTTAACTAAATGGACAGCATCTTGGTACAAAAAATCTTGTTTACATGGTTGGAATTCGTTGTGGCGATGTCGGTCATGCGAAGCACTCACCAAAGAACAAAAACATGGCGATGTCATTCTCTTCCACTTTTCGACTTACGGTGCTAGTAACGAGGCGATTGCGGAGAAACGATGGCAAAAGCGGAAAGACAGACGTCGAACTTATTCCACAAGGTGGATGTGATTCAACTGACAGCGAGTGAGAAGGAATTATCGGTCGAAGGAGCTCAGATTAAATTCTAGATTAAAGGAGTTTGCAGTCGGAAGAAACATGGCTTGGAGTCGACAGAAACTTTGTTGCTTGATTCGCTTTCAAGTTTTCTGTAGGTAACATCGATGTTACACGTACACAAGAACAGTAAATGGCAACCAGTGATTTTGTATATTTTAGTGGGAAGGTTTCATATTCCCAGTAGATCAACTGAGTATCATGTCGAGTGCATGCAGTTTTGATATATAATTTTTTTTTCAAGCCCACAACTAAAGCAAAAGAACAACAATTGAATTATAACATGTAATGTTACATTTGAAAAGAGACTTACCTGTGCAATGAATGTTTTCATATGTTTGAGAATAAAGACATAAATACATCTTTGTTCAATGGTACTGAAAGCATGTGTCACTTTGGGGGGGGGGCAACTAACCGCCATTTCTCTATAGTGGTCACCTGGCCATAGTGGTCAATTTTGGCCAGTCCCTTGAGTGACCACTATAGACAGGTTTGACTGTACTAGATAGATTATCATTATATCAAAGTTCTTTTTTTTTAACTTCCTCTTAAACATGGCCCAACAATTTCTGTGATGGAGTTCTTCCACAAATGTTTTAAGGTAATTTTGGCAGCAAAAAAATACTCTGGATAAGGAAATCTGCCTGATAATGTGTGATATTGATATTCACTGCCATTTCTGAACACATTTTATGTCATAATTAAATTTCATACATGAAGCATTTGAAATAGCCCTGAAACAAATTTTTGGGTACCACCCATAAATAGCTAGATCCAGCCTACAATACAAAACAAGCAACCGTTTTCCATCAGCAACATCACATTTTTGCCTCAAACATTTCAGTATGCTATGAGATAAGATTGATTCAACATTAAAAGAGTAACCAGAAAATTGACTTCAAAAGTCCAGTTTTGCTGCCCTGAAATTGCACTGGATGCCTTAAAAAAATCAAACCACTAATCCTAAATACTGTAGAATTTTTGAAGATACCATCCACTCCTGGAAACAGTTTTCCATAACGACTTTTAATAGGAAGGTTAGATGTTGCGAAGAGTTGGCAGGCCTGAAGGACTAAGTTATCTGGCATCAATTTGTTTGTGTGGGGATTTGGCCAAGGTGGAAAGGTTAGTCAGATAAGGTTGACTGGGATGGTAGAACCATAGGTTTGAACCCTGCTGCAGTGCATGTCTGTAAACAACCGGGGTAGATCTTGGATATTAGAGGGCCTGCATGGTGTTTTCCGTAGAGCACAATTAATTGATATACTTTCCTATATAGAGGTCTAATGCAACGTAGAGGGTAATTGGGAATCTTTCATATTTAGCGTAGAGCGGCCTCCGGAAATTCATCGAAATACGTAGCCGGCTCTCGAAATTTAGCGCAGAGCATTGTGGGCACACACCCCATGCAGGCCCTCATGTTACCCTTACCTTACACGTTAGTCTGTCCCTGTCTACTTTTGTAATAAATGGGTCATCCTTGGATAGTAACATGCAGTCTCACTGTCAGTTGTTTTATACATCTGCCAAAGACATTTTTGCTTCCATCTATTTAAGACAGTGGAAGCAAAATCTTCTGCCATGTAATGAGAGAGTTTACTGACCAAAATTTTAGCTGATATTTCCATCTTCAAAGGTCAAAGTAGATGTATAACCATCATAGTGACATGACTGTGGCAAATATGGAGTTATTTATTATCGTGAAAGTCGGCAAATTATTTGTTCACGGTAATTAATTGATAAAGTCAAAACTGCGAACATAAAAGTACTGCGAAAAAATGGTGAATTACAGATGCTGGCCATTACCTCAAGAGTTTTACGTCAGTTACAGAGAGGAAATGCACACTTCCTGCCAGCGCCACTCGCATATTGACTTGATTAAAAGAGTTTTATCTTCTGTAAGCAATAGTCAAGATGACGTCAGATCATTTGTGGAAAAATTCTTTCCGTTGGCTCAGACGTATGGGATCGGTTTCACGGCCGATGGTAAATATAAGCCACTGACGGAAGCAGTGACGTACAGAGTAGGAGTGTGTTTGCCAAAACACTGAAGGTTCAAAGATAGGGAACCTTTCAATTAGTGACGGTGACATTTGATGATCAGCAAAATATTTCTTTTCTGTTATACAATAAAAACTGTGTGGAGGGTGTGGATTTTCTTTCATGAAATTTTAGCAAGCTCACAAAAGTGTACTTACTTACAGCATAGAACTGATACAAGTGCTAGTATTAAGTAAAATCAAGGAGGTTCAAATATCTGTATATGACTACTCCGTAGATAACTCTTTGCAGATTAGGATAAGGCCACAGCAAAAAAATTGTTATGGATGACATGTTTTCATGGTTTTCTTCCGCTTCGTGCAATTCCATGAGAGTTTGTTAAACTAAAAGTGACACCTGACCAGTGAGGTAGCCTTGAGTGTACATGTATGTAGAAGTGAGACTAGTATAGGAACGATCGCTGTTTTTGTTTATATCACATACATGTACAAACAAATGCAAATTATATTGAAGATATATGCAAATTATTGGTAGGCAAGTCGTTCATTTTTATCTCTTCACATTTTCTTCTTTCCCGTTGGAATTGATTTGGGCATACCATTCTACGACATTAGTAGTATTATTTTCCGAAATCTCTTTTGTAATTTACAGCACGTATTTTCTCATTCTACAGCTGCTTTGTACGATTTACACGTACAGTATGGTTGCAAACTTTTTTTGGAAAAGGACAAAATTCATCCGTTTGTGGATGTCATCCATATAATCAAATCAACATGGCCTAAACCCCCCTAATGGATAGAAGAGGGACCCGTGATAAGAGCATGGTAAACCTGGAATTACGTTCTCTGACAACCCTCATTTTAATGCATGAATGCAGCAAGGGAAGCCCCTTTTGTCAGTTTTGAATTTACATGATAATCGTGCCTCCAAGTCACTAGAAATATTTTTTTCTGGCCATAAATCGGGCCAGCTGTCTGCTACCACAGGATATGGCCGTTAAATGGTAACATGCATTTACACCAATGTTTTCTCTACCATTATCTTGTTATAATAAATGGTTTATTGATCAAACATAACCCGTGCAATCGCAGCGTTTTGTAGCGCTGAATTGATGCAGGGTTTACAATCACATAATACACATGATACATATGACATATTTGCTCCACACACTTTTTGTGGAACTGTCGCAAGGGTCTGTGCGGCTGCTATTCGGCGCCACCAGGTGACCTCAATACGACTTTCCCCAACCAAAGATAGGTACCCATTCACACCTGGGTGGAGTGAAGAAAGCCTTTTCCAAGGGCACAACTTCGGGGCACATGTCCAGACATGTCCCAGGTACAACTCGGGATCGAACCTGATTCCGCCAAAGCAGGATTCATGTGGCCCTATCTGAACACTCCAAATCACATTAAAAAAAAAACGGCTTGGTCCCAAACCACCTCTGGAAGTAGTTTAGAACCAGCTTGAACGCATTCCGACTTGAGTCTGAACGCAATGTGACGTCACTGGTTGCAGATTGACCCGGTCATGGATTACGTGGTGAAATTTCTTAATCGTATATACAATACCAAAAGGTACGCAGATGCAACTTCAAAAGTGATACCATAGTGGCCGAACAATGTGCCCATTCTAGGACAAGCTCCACCGCCTCTAGCGGGACCACGTCGGCATTTGGCTGAGATACGCTGGGAGGGGGGCACCAGCAGGCAGGTCGTTGACCTCTGACATTGATAAGATGATGACACCTTACGTCTTTTGATCCAACTATAAAGGATTCTAGTTTGGCCAGTTTGTACTTGGGCACGATTTAGAAGGAACGCGTGGCACATGGACCAGATGTGAGGTACACGATTTACCAGGATTGTGGTTTGGCGACCTAGGTGTGAAGACAGTCTTAGACACTTGTAAACTGATACCATTGTCCCTTATCCAATTTGCATGACAGTTGTTGGACACCTGTCTGTGTCATCAGCTGTTGTCTTCGCGTGTAGTATTGTTTGGGTACTGGCTAAAGACAAGTGTTGATTTGCAGTGTTCAGCTCTATCAGTTGTCTTGCAAATCCATTCAATACCCTATTGTGGCCATTGACTACGTTGTTGAGATATATGATTGTGTGCAATTACAATGTTTCACCATGAATTGTATTTGGGATATAATCTGATGATGATAAACATCAAACGGTAGTGCAGATCGACCACAATTTTGGTGTATAAAAAAATGTATGAATTACCATTGACGTCACAAATGTTCAACTTTTTTAAGACAACACATCTGGGAAAGATATTGAGCATTGATTGAGGCAAATGTTATATACCAACTTCCTAGTACTACTGTAATTCCTGATTTGTTCACTGTACTGATAAGTTCACTGTTTTCACTGTTGCTTCTGTACAGTGAACTTATCATTACAGTTAACAAATAATTCCTGGACTTTCTTTTTTCTGCACCTGTCACCACCGTGAACATATAGTTCCGTGAACATGTCCATTTTTCTCAGACCGTGAAATTTTGCTACCGTGAACATAAAGTGAATTACAGTATACTGTAAATCACTTTATATTTGCAGTACTTTTATATTCACTGTTTTTGCAGTCACTTCTATACCCCAAATTTATCATTACTACAAGCAAATGATTTGCAGACTTTCTTTCTTCTGCCCCTGCCGCCAACTCAAACATATAGTTCCACGATTTTTCTCAGACCCTAGAATTTTGCCGCCACGAATATAAAGTGATTTTTAGTACCTCTGATTAGTATTGTTGCTATTGTCCATCGAGCCCCTTTATTGTATGGTTTCATGCTATTCCCCTGAGGGTTTCAATTGATACTAATGATACAAACCAGAAAAGTCTGTTACTGCTCAGGTACATACATGTGGTATTGGTTTCACAAAGAGATGTCACCAGGATATTGTCATGTTAATTTGTAATCACTAATGTTTGTCTTTTTTGTCAATTTTTACAGGGAACTCACCAGAAACCAAGTATTCAATTTAGAAACAATGAAGGGGTGAGTATAGTGAAGAAGCTTTTTTGTTATAGATATAATTTAGTGTATTTGTTCTTAAGTTATCTGATGCTATTTCCATGTTTCTGATCGTCTTCTTGATTGACTTTTTTTAGTTTTAGCCGTCTGTTTTAGTTATCTGCTCTGAAAGGATGAAAATATATTTTTTTCGTCTTACATAAAATCTAAAATTTTTTAAATTTTCTTTCTCCTAGTTATTAGATCTGTGAATATTATTTTGTACAGTAGTTTGTAAAATTATTCCTGACATAAGGTCACACCAATTTGAATCGACAGGGCAAAAAATAAAAATAAGAACAGACCTTGGCATCCTGTTATCCCTGAAAGCCATGTTAGGAGCCATGAGGTCAACATACCAGGCTGGTTTGTAATTCAAACATGTATATTTAAGTTTTTAGCAAACCAATGCATTGATAGGTGGAAAAAACTGGAACAACTAGGAAGACAAGGAGCATTCTTCAACTGTTTGGGCCAACATGAGCATTTTCAGGTTCAGAACCTAAATCGCTTTTCTTCTTTTTTGCAAATCAGAAAAAAAATTAGAGGGCAAATCCGAACCAGTTTGTTAAATTGGTGTGGCCTAAGATTGAATTTTTCTTAGCTACTAACCATTTGTGAGGAAATTTATTATGATGATGAAATGACTTTCGAACATTTTTTCTTTGTAGGTCATTACTGTCCCTGTTAGGAAAAGTGAAGAGAACCCCCAGGGAACAAAGACTTTTAAATTCACCTTATCCTCTGCTCAGCAGGGTGTTACAGAGTGTGTGCAACAGGGGCGGAGAAGGTAAGCTTCCTCGCTTTGTCTTATTTCTTACCAGGGTTCTAGCTAGGATTTAATTTTAGCGTAGTGGCACTGGCCGCAAGTCGAGGGAGAGAAGCGACCGGGACAGGGGATGGGGTGCTAATTTGAGCTAAAAAAGGCCATTTGAGCAATACCCAAAGGGGAAAAAAATGTTATTTCTAAGGTGTGTACAATGTATCCTTGATTGGTAATTTTTTTACATTAGATCTGGCATTCTTGAACAAAGAAATAAAGTCACAATGCCCCTATGCTGTATTGAAAAGGGGGAGAAATTTAGTGTAGTGGGTCAAAATTTTAGCGTAGGGGGGGAAATTTAGCGTAGTGGGTCAAGATTTTAGCGTAGGGGGCCCCTACGCTACTTTGTGCTAGCTAGAACCCTGCTTACCATTTTCTTGGTTTGCCAAACATGTACTGTACTTATTATAGTAAAACGTTGAACTTAATTCCAACACAGCGAGGACAGAGAGATCAAATTTTCAATGACTCACTGCTCTCGCAAGGGCTTTTAAAACTGCAGAAACAAGCCCCAAGATGAGTCCTTTATTTTCTGGTTGGTAATCAGCCCAAGGCCTTTCCAGTAACCATTTTCCGTCAGAATTGGGAATTTTTGCTTCATGAAAGGTACTATACATTGGGATTGTGTGGTTTCAACTTAGTATGAAGATAAATGACTAGAATATTGGATAGTAAATGAATAGAATATCAGACAGTATGCTGTACCCCTCTCCTATTAATAATTAATGTAGCAGACTCTTTAATGGTGCGTTTCACATAAAGCATTGGACTGAAACATTGGACACACAGTATTCCCTCCTAGCATGAGGGATAGAGGTAGGACATCCGTTTGGGGCATAGAACCCTGGGGTCTTGGCTAAGATCCAACCCCACCCCCCTCACCCCCCCAAGTGACCCAAACCCAGGGCACTAGTCAGCGCCCGTTTTTCTGTCCATTGCAGGAAGTTTGCGACGGGAAAAAAAAATTGAGTCAATTGAAAAAATTGACAAAAATTTTGGGGAAAAAAATTGAAAACATCCAAAGGACCACCAGCAACCACATGATAATGCCTCTCGAAATGTGGGAATTCCATTTTTAAAATCCAAAATTTGCCCCCGGACCCTCCTATATTGCGAGCACTCAATTATGAACCTTGGCTGATGGAAAAATATTTCCAGCTGACTAGAGCCCTGCCCATAGTATAGAGATGGAATTGTTAAGCCAGTTCAATTACAGTACTGTCCTTGTCAAAGCACCTGTGGGAACATGATGAATTATGCAATATTGCCAATGAAAACCAAGAAATTCTTACCACGTTACCAAAATACAAGTGTAGACTGTTAACAACAAACTCAACATCTGCATTTGGCAAGAAGGAGTTACTGTAAATCACCTTATGTTTGCGGTCTGAGAAAAATGGAGTCACTCCACATGTTTGCGGAACTATACGTTTGCGGTGGCGGCAGGTGAAGCAAAAAAGAAAGTCGGCGAATAATTTGTTCACAGAAATGATGAGTTTGCGGTACACAAGTGACCACAAAAACCTGAATATGAAAGTACTGCAAAAAAATGGCGATGTACTGTATACATTGGTTTGTCTGTTCTCCCCAAAGTGTCTGACCACAGACTAGCCTAATAGGTTCCATTGTCAGGGTCAGGCAAGGTCAGTGTATAAGCGGTAATGGAAGGCAGGTGTCTGTGCGGGTGACCAGACCAGCCTCAACCTCAGCAGGGTTCCCAACAGAAGTTTTTTCACAGCGTAGGGGCCAAATACACAAGACAGTGTTCAAAAAAGTTTTTCCTTCATACCTGCACTGGTAACAATAAATATTGAAAATAACCTGCACCAGACAAAGTTTCCCTGCACCACTCAGAATTTAGAAAGTGTGGATCATACTAAAAAGTGTTCAGAAACTACTGCCGTTATTTCTTTTACACTTCATACGTGATCAGATGAGTCAATACAGTAAATGAAAAAACACATACAGTCTACATCTACATTTGTGTGCAAGCCCAGTACATGGACCAGTGCAGGTAGACATCAGAAATACCTGCACTGCTCCACTTTTACCTGCATATGCACCCAGTATTTCAAACCCTTTAAGAACAATTTTCTGTGGCACAAGCTGTACATTCGGAGTCCCAAAAACATGACCTCAGAGGATGTGTGTTGGTGTCTAGTATTCTCCCCGAAAAATTTTAATACTTCTAACCCCCTGAGACACCATTTCCTACTTACTGAGGGACAGATTTTATAAACTTACATTTTCCCTTAGTTATAGCTTCATTCTAATGTGAAATTTTCATTTTCAAAAGAGTCATGAAGGGTTTCAGAAAAGAAACACCCCTACGCTGGTTGAAAGACAGTATTATAGGGAGCTAACTCACAGCATAGGGGGTTCAACTCACAGCAATGGGGGCCCCCTACATTGTATGCTCAAACAGTCTGGTGGAACCAGGCTCAGACACCTGGGTTTAATGACTGGAGACTGGAATGCGGGTGAGCGTGTGAAATGGAAGTCAAGGATGAAAAATGCAGAGTGACAAGCTGGGGTGGACACACAGGGCCCCAAAATAGTCTTTGGCATACAATGTCAGGACCAGGGGACTAGCTAGCACCCGTTTTTCCATGAATTACCGGAACTTGGCGGCATGTGAGAGAAAAAAAAAAACATTTTAAACCAACCTGTCAACCTTGGCAGACAAAATTCACAACAACCTTGGGCAAAGAAAGATATAAAAACATCCGAAATCCGAATGACCACCAACAACCACTCTCAACCACATGATTGGAAAATGTTGGAAATTGCATTTTTGATTGAATGCTTGAAAATCAAAATGTCTAACCTTCATCGATGTTTACTGTTTGATCCTATATTTATATTTATGTTTACCAAAGGAAAACATATTGTTTTTGCTCTGTTTCCTCTTCTTCTTCTCCAAACCAAGAAGGTCAATGACCTGAACCAGACGTCTGTCACCATGGTAACTGGGTTGGGTAACATCATGTTGCAATTTCATAGCAGGAGGGATTTAGACTGCTGTCACCATATATATATATATGAATGTGTTTGAGTAAGAATTAACAGTGCAGACCACATGTGAAGGTAAACATTATGCATTTGCTTTGCAAATGTTACCTTTCTAGTATTTATGCTATTTCCACATGGTTGTGTTCCCAGTCTCGGTGACACCCAGCTGCAGCAGGTCAACAATATCCAGCAGAAGCTGACGGTCCACGCCACCGATGACGTCTACCAAACCACCAGACAACGGGTCACTCAGGTCGAGGAGGAGTGGAAGAAAAACCAGTAGGTCTTTGGTTTGGTTTGGTTTGGTTTGGTTTGGTTTAGGCCTAGGAAAAATGTTGTTTCCTGTTTCAGTCCTAAAATAAATTAGGGACAATAGGTAGGGTTTTTTTGTCTTTTTTTTTTTTTTACTTTGGTCATCTCTAGTGATCCAACTTATACAAATTTTACAATACAGAGTAAAAATTGCATGAGGACAATTATATTTTCAATGTCAATGTGGGAAAACTGATTGTACAACGTTTTATCACTCGGGTGTCAGTTCATGGAGCTAGAAAAGGTTGGTCAGCTCGAAAAATTGCAGGGGTCCACCAAAAAAAGAAGGCTAGGGTCAGCAGTTTTTCTAGGGTCAGTTGGGAAAAGGAAACAACATTTTTTCCTAGGGACTCTACCTCTGGAATAAGAGGTTGGGAGTTGTCACTCATGCGACATACACCCTACAGGAAAGGGTTGCAGTCAAAAAGACATTAAGCTGTTCATTGCACTTGTCGAAAACAGCTTGGAATTTTCCTGGTACAATGAACCTGTAAATACTGTTCATAGCATCTGTCTTCTTTGTTACGACCAGTGGGACATCAGTGAGCTAAAACTGGTTCCAGACTCCTTTCCTTTCATTTTGCATGAGTGACAAGTCACTAGTCTTTCATTGAAATATTACAAAATATAACAACAGAAACGCACTATAATTTATACAATGGAATTAACAGAGAACTAGCATAGGCTGAACTTGAAACTTGAACTTCTTATCATAAGTCAGGGATCCTCACATGGTTTAGTCTGAATATCGTAGAAGCCAAGACAGCGTTCTCGTACTGTTTGTTCAAGTGTTTTGTCTGTGCTACCTTGACCTTGCAATGACGCAGGGTACACATTTTAGGCATTGCAAGCAAATAAAGATCCTGGTATGTCTTGAAAGACTTGAGACATCACTTAAAAACCCATTGGTAATGCTGCATGCACTTACGTATTACTTGCACCAAAAAGAGTTGCAAGTGTCCTTTTCATGTTGGTGTGGTAACCAACAGAATTTTTTTGGTTGATTCTATATCAGTCCTATTCAGCTCACGTGTACAATGGTCTGCATCTTGT